GATGCGTCGCCCGCCGCATCGCGTGAGCACGAATCTTGAGGGCGTGTGTTTTGTGGGCCCATCGTTTTCTTTTCCTTTTGTCATTATTTTATTTATGTAGATATTTTTTTGGGGGGGGTGACATTATTAGGTTGATTCGCTGGCAAAACTCACAGCGTAGGAGCGGAATACCGTGGGCAAGCGAAGGTTGGGTTCTATTGTGAGAAGAGTAGCACTGAATTTTCCGCCTAAATTTAAAATCCACCTATGATTTTTATTTTATTTTCCAAATTCATTTTTCGCCTTCACAGAACGCGACGGAGGATTTACTTTTATAGTAGAAGTCCTCACGTAATTTTTTTTAGTTTTGTTCTTGTCTCCGCCTTCTTGCGTATTTCCATCTGTGTAAATATTGGTTTTCCTTTACAAATAAATCGAGACTGAAACTTTATTCCCGGCAAAAAAGTTTCACGTTTATCAATCAATTTCTTAAATATATAACCATTAATTTGGATGGCTAAAGTATCTTCTAGAATGCAGTTTTTTTTTTGTTATTTGTTTTATATATTTTTGAAAGTAGTAGAAATGGTATTTTTCCTCCTCTTTAACTACTTTTTTCAGTTGGATAACAGTTGGAAATATTGTTAGAAAAAGAGATAGGAGATTTTTTTTGAATATTTATTTTAGAGTGAAGAATATCCACGTAAGAAAAATAATTTTATTTCTAAATTGATGCATATTTTAGCAACTTCATACTTTTAGCAAGTATAGGAAGTAAGTTTTTCTAGGGATCGAGATCCTCTCCAATTAAATAGTAATTGTTGGAGAGGGTCCAATTCTCCCCATCTTTATCATCTATATCACCTTCAACGGATGAGATCATTTCATGTGAAATTTTGATTATTACAAATAGTGGTTTTCAAGTTTGGACTTGGTTTCCAAGACCATATTGGTCTTCAAGGTAACAATGAAAATCTTACGTGGTGTGATCTCATTCATTGAATTTAATATAGACAGTAAGGATTGAGACAATTAGACTCTCTTCAATTGTCGCCTAATTGGAGAGGATCTGTATCCCTTTTCTAGAGAAACAAATTATTTTTGCTCAAAAATAGCAAAAGTAGTCTTTACTTTTGCTACTTCATGTCTTTATAGGATGTTCTTGTATTTAATCTAAACTTCCTTCGAAAGGAATTTGCAATAATAGAAAAGATTTGTTTTCATATGTAAAATATTTAATAATCTCATTATGTTTAGTGATCTCTAGGGGGGCGGGGGAGGAAACAATAAACTTGAAGAGGAACAAATGTTCAATAATAATTGCTATCAAGAAAATAAGAGAGATATATACTTGTAAAGTGGGTACTAGATCTACTTGAAAGAGTACCATTATCTATATAGTGGATATGTTATCTTTTACATAGCCAACCATTAATGTGTATAAGACTTGCTGGGTTGCATATATATTATATGAGACGTGTTATTTTTAACATAGAATCCACATTTAATCTTATGAAAAATATTGTTATTCCAACTTTCTAAGCCCAATTTATCTAACTCTCTTAGAGCATCTCCAACAGCTTCCCCATTTCTCATTTTTGAAGAATATAGTTAGGTTTTTGGTCCAACAGATTCATCATCTCATTCCCCAAAATAGGGATGGAGAAGAAAAAATGGGGAAACGTCCCCAAATCTGCAGCATTCTCCAAATTTTTGGAGGAAAAAAAAGATTCTTTAAAACGGGGAAGCTGTTGGAGTTGGTGTAAAATTAATTTGAAGAATATGACTTTTGTTTCCCTATTTTGAAGAAAATTTTAAAAAAGCTATTGGAAATGCTCTTAGACACATTCTTTTGAATTGCTTAATTACTGGTTTAAAGCAATTTCATATTATTGTTTGGACATTGTCCCCACAATTTTTTTATCCGGCACTGAGACAAAGACTGAGAGACTTATATTCAGGGGCTGATTGGCCCAGATAAGGCATTTTCAAGAATGTCACATTAGTTAAAAAAACGAACGTTTTATTTTCTGTTGTTTGGTTGGCACTAGAGCCGAGGAAAATGCATATGAAATGGGAAAACCCATTTCTGACTTAAGGAAACCATGTTTGAGAATGTGAAAAAAAATAAAAAAAATCCTCCCCATTTCAGATTAAGAGACAATATTACATTTGATAAAATCTGGATTGTCCAATTTTTGTAGTTTATTTTCTTCTCCTTCCCTAGATTAAGACTGGTCTAGGGAAAGGTTGGACCAATCCTAACCCGGTTGAGGAATTTTCATGTTAAGGGAGATTTGCCAAACATAACCTTAGTTTCTTTCTTTCTTTTTTTCCAAATTTCATGTATCAATATAAAAATCCGAAGCAGTATACTTTTTGAAGAAGCATAGTAATATTTGAAAACCCACATCCTTAAATGTGAATATACCATCGAGTAATTACTGAAAAGGAGTATATTTTTCAGTATTTAGAAATGTGTGGCACTACGGTCACACCCCCAACCACAACCTTAACCATACCCGCTCTCTCATTTGTTACCGTGCACCGGACCTCATATGGGATTTTAAATTTTTAAAATCCCATATGAGGCCCAGTGTACTGTGACAAATAAGAGAAGTTGTGTAGTTGAGATTGTGGTTGGGGGTGTACCCCTATCATTTTCCTTTAGAAATTAAACATCACGAGATAACGCTCATCCTAATTATAGAGCTTCTAACATAAGCCATGTTGCCTATTAATTTATATCTCATTTTTGGTTAAATCCGTTACGGGAAGCTAATCAACAGTTTTTCTGTCAAATTTCAAGAATTCTACATAGGTAATAATTTTTCTAAATATACCTACTATTATCTTCATCATGAATCGCATTTAATAGTTTTACTATTGTTTGAATTAAACAGTATATGCCTTTTTTTTATAAGATATATTTTGAAGGATTGACCTTAGCGGAGGCGCGTGATTTTACCTCTTCAGGTTTGGCCTCAATGTTGTTTGGTGTTAAGTTATAAATAAGGGTGGAACTTTTTTTTTTGGGTGAAAGCCTGACAAAGTGTCAGTCTTTCACCCTAAAACGCCTCTTTTTAGCGTTTTAGGGTGAAAGCCTGACACTTTGTCCGGCTTTCACCCAAAAAACCCAAAAAAAAATTGGGTCCAAACGTGTCCTAGGGGGTGTTAGTCAATTGGGACATTTTTATGCAAAATGAGATAATTGTTAAAGTGGAATAATTTTTCGCTGATGGGATATTTTAGTGGGATAAATAGGAACAATTTTGTGAAGCGGGATATTTTGATAAAATAACGTGGAATAAATTTTTATAATCATGAAATATATATTTATGGATTTTAAATATATAAATACTATTTATATATTTTAAACTTACTATTATTGATTGATAATTGCTTACAAAAATATTTTTTACTATTAAATAACTTTTGATTAGACTATAAGATATTGACAATTATTATTATAATGATAGTGATAACCATAATAGAAAAGAAGTAAAGAAAAAAAGAAATATAAAAAATAATAAATAATAAAATAAATATGAGTTCTGGTTTTTTACCGCCTAGTTCCAAGCTAAAACTTAGAATAATTTGAGAGGCTAGAACTCTCATTTTTGTATAGAAAAATACAAAAAGTGGGATAATTTTGTATCATTATCTCAACTCTAGTTTTGTTAGAGTTCTACTTGACTAACGCTGTAAAATTTTATCCCACATATTATCCCAGTTCTAATTTTAAGTTCTAGGTGATAACCCCCTAAGGGGGGGTTAGTCACCTAGAACTTAAAATTAGAATTGGGATAATCTCTGTGATAATTTTTAAGGTGTTAGTCATATAGAACAAAAATTAGAATAAAATTTTACAGTGTTAGTCAAGTAGAACTCTAGCAAAACTAGAATTGGGATAATGGTACAAAATTATCCCACTTTTTTTATTTTTCTATACAAAAATGAGAGTTCTAGTCTCTCAAATTATTCCAAGTTTTAGCTTGGAACTAGGTGGTAAAAAACTAGAACTCGTATTTATTTTGTTATTTTTTATTTTTTATATTTCTTTTTTCTTTACTTCTTTCCTATTATGGTTATCACCATCATTAGACCATCATTATAATAATAATTATTAATATATACATTATAGTCTAACCAAAAGTTATTTAATAGTAAATAACATTCTTGTAAGCAATTATTAATCAATAATAGTAAGTTTAAAATTCATAAATAGTATTTATATCTTCAAAATGCATAAATATATATTTCATGATTATAAAAAATTATCCCATGTTATTTTATCAAAATATTCTGTTTCCTAAAATTGTTCCTATTTATCCCACTAAAATATCCCACTAGCAAAAAATTATTCCACTTTAACAATTCTCCCATTTTGCATGAAAATGTCTCAATTGACTAATACCAAGTGAGAACATTTATATTCATAATCACTCAATTTGAGCTCAGTATAATATGAATTGC